AATCATAATGAAACGATTGCAAACTTTCTGATCGCGGGTTCTATCCCCACCCGTGGTATGGTTTATATTATTGGGTAGTTGAAATCAGTAAATGGGCAGTTTCTTGCACTCAATTGATAGAACAAATGGAGTTCTAGCAAAATAGCTACGAGTTTGGTCGACTGGAACAATAGAATTGGCCAAAATAGGGCTCAAAGTGGGCAAAATCGCTGATGCGTAAACCGAGTGAAGACCACTAACTTCGTTGGAGCATAATTCCTTAAGTTTTCCATTAAATTTCGTACTTTTGCTGTCATTACCCCTGGGAAAAGATTCTCTATCATTTTATATGAAAAATATATATATATATTTTTTTTTGAAAATTCTTCGACACTGAGAGCAAGTTTGTGAGCACTGGTCTCGACAGTGAAAGGGTTAAATTCATCTATCTGTGATGATTTTGCAAAAAATTATGGAGACCCTTGATTAGTAACTAATAACTATTATTTTGAAAATATGTGAATGGACTGAAAACATGTAAATAATCCTGCCAGCCTCTAAACCCTTTAATTATCCAAAGTCCCAACAAGATCAGAGTTTAGCTGTTCTCATCATGCACTGCATGGAGTTAGTTTTTTTTTATACTGCACATACTTACCACAGACCCATACTCATTTGTAAACCAAAACTTGCCACTGATGGCAAATCTGAGGGTGCTATAATTTGTGTATATCTGCAATGAGTGACAATGACCCTTACCATGTAGATCTATGTGAATGTAAGTGAAAAGGCTAAAGTTTATAGTTTCAAAGGGAAGGTGCAAATGAAATAGTAATTGTATTTTAGGAAATGAAAGATCTATCCAGTGAGTAGTCAACAAGATAGTGTGATGTCACCATTGTTCCTTAGAGATGCTTCATTATGTCTTCATTAGCAGCTATCCCTACTTTGTCATCATAGTTACAGCTTCTATTGAGAAATGCAATAAAAAGGAATTATCAGCAAAAATTCCAGATACACTGGTGGGTGGCAAGACACTCCATTCGGCTTCTACTATAACAAACACAATCTGGACATACAATTCAGATGTTTAGTAGAGTATCTCATTTTCACAAAGTGGGTATACAACCATACATAACTGTAAGAGGAGGAACTGCAATTTACTATACATCTACGAGATAAAATGTATTAATTCAAGAAGTACTAAAAACGAGTTTGGTGAATACTGCACAATTTATAATTAAAAATTTAAAAGCCCCAATCACAACAGGAGCTGTGCACCTATCACCTCATACTAACAAATCAGGCTTTTGGTGACAATTTTTAAGACTATGTATGTAACAGGAAACTAAATGGTTAATAACAGCTGAAGACTGATATAAACCTCCTTCAGTATAAACACACACAAAAAGCTAGTTTCCTAAACATGTACAGTTACTGATACACAGACAACTGATCACTACTAAACCTTTCTAATCATCCTCTCAAAATTACCAACAGAAACAAACAATATCACAGTCATGCTGAATGACAAGACATCATTAACAACTTGGCTGTAGGAGTCAGAAATCTCAACCAGCAGAGAAAATTTAATAAAAATCAAGACATTAACTTTTACGTCCAAATATTTCTACAAAAAATCAAAGTCTCCACAAAATGTGCTGCCCAATAATAGTAATAATAATAATAATAATAATAATAATAATAATAATAATAATAATAATAATAATAAAAAGAGACCACAACTAAGAGACTAAACTGCTCATGGCTAAATATCCCATCCCAAAATGCAATGACAAAAATCATAGCTATGAAAGAAAAAAGACTGAGCTTAATATACAAAGAACAAGCAAAAAAATATTCAATGCTAATGCACTAATAAAGAAATCAAAACATCTCTACTATGCTAACATTTAACTCTTTCACTGTCCAGATCTCCAAAATTATGAGTGCTGACAGTGTCCACATTAATAAGAAAATTTCTTCTGAAATGGTAGAGAATCTTTACCTGAAGGCAATTTATGACACTAAAAATACGAAATTTGATGGAAAATTTACAGAATTATGCAAGCACACAGGTAATGGTCTGGGTGCCATTTATGCATCAGAGATTTTGCCATATTTGAGCCCTATTTTAAACCAATTACATTGCTCAATGTTACAAAATCCTTCTCTATTTCATTTGCATGCTTTCTGTTCTATCAACTGTGTATAAGAAACTACCCATTCAACTATCAAACCTACCCTATAGCATGCACAGAATTTGGTAATTTGGTCAAGTTTATGCAAATTAAAAAAAAAATAAAAACAGTCCAAAATAAACAGTGTAGACATTCCAGTTGCTAAAACAAAATTTCCTCTGTCCAATAATCACATCTTAAAGCCTTTCCCCACATTACACTTGCCTTCCATTTTGAATTTATCACATACAAAATATCGAAGATTTATGGTTTACAGCATCCCAATAATTGAATCAGATCTTAGCAAAAGTCCATATTTCCACTAGGCAGGATTTTTTTTTTATAATGTGTACACTAACCACAAACACCCATTCTCTCATATCTAGGCCAATATGAGCAGGCTGAGCTCATGACATTGTAGATCCACATGATGGACCCTGGTGCCAATAATGTAATTCTACATGATGGACAATCAAAAGGTTAAAAAAAACTGGGAAAGACACTCATTTAACAAGCTTTAGTCAAGAAGTCGCTGATTAATCTGAGGAAGGCATCCCATATTCCATCTGACGTAGACAGAGATGTAAACCATAGCTTTATGTCTTCCTTTGCTGATGATACCCGAATTGCCAAGACAGTGTCCTCCATCGAAGACACCGCAAGACTCCAAGCAGACATCAACCAAATCTTCACATGGGTCACTCAAAACAACATGAAGTTTAATGAAGAGAAATTTCAACTACTCAGATATGGAAAACTTGAGGAAATTAAAACTGTATCAGGGTACACAACAAATTCTAACCATACAATAGAGCAAAAAAAGTGATGTGAAGGACCTGGGAGTGATAATGTCAGAGATCTCACTTTCAAAACTAGGGATGCAAAGCCCATGATGATTCTCTTCAGATCACTTGTTCTCTCTAGGTTGGAACAGTGCTGTACACTAACTGCCCCCTTTAAGGCAGGCAAAATTGCTGACCTGGAGGGTATAATCATAGTACCCGTTGTTTTTCCTGACAATTTCCATCAGTGGTTTCTCAATAAAGTTCAAAGAATTCCACTTCATTTGCAGTGTTCCCAAGGGTACAATTTGGCAGGATTCCACTGTTGCTTTCATCAAACTGATGGGGACTGGGCACAAAATTTGCATTTCCTTGTTAATCCCAGATGTGGTTTGTTGGTGGGTATTGGATATTAGTTGCTGGTTGTGGTGTGGGGCTGGTTGAGGATGTGCTGGGTTGTGGGTGTGCTGAATCAGTGGCGTGGGTCCCAGCCTGGGCTGCAGTTAGTGGCGTACCCCCACACGGCACCACCAACACCTACTGACGCATGTAATCTATTATCCATCCCAACTGTAGCCACATCATCGTCACTTTCACTGTCTGTTCATGGTGTAGGGCCATGGGATGTATTCCATCCACTTAGATCTGCATATGGCACAGAAGAAGACCATACGTGATTGTCATATAAACTGACGCTCCACTGGTGAACATTCTTCTTCGCTGCCACTGCTTGAATGGTCACCACGAGCAAGAAAATAAAAATCCACGTCACTGTCATCGCCATTACTCACATCTGAAGCCTGGCCATGGGAAAAAATAAGCTTACGCTTATGGTGAGGTACAATCGAACATGAACCCAGACGGACCAGCACCAGAGGTGGAAGGTTGAGGGTTGTCAGGGTTTCGGTTACTATTTTCGATTTCCCGAGCATTGCTCTCAGTCACAATTCGTTCAAAACATGTAATTTCTCTTCAGATCCACTTCCATCCATTGTAAAACTGTCACTTAAGAAGAGATTCCCAATTTGATGAGGAATGAGAGTTTTGTTACTGCAAGGTATGGTGAACAATGGGTACTGAGATGGAGTTCTCACAATGCACTGAGGGTGCCCCGATTTTTTGTTTACTGTGCACACTGACCAAGCAGACCCATTCTCTCATATGTAGGCCTATGAGCCTTGTTGTGCTAAATTTGAAGCTGCTAGAATTTTGGTGTAGTACTACGGCACACACGGTTATCTCAAAAATTATCACTATTTCGGTAATATACCTAACATTTTATCAATTGATACCAAGAAACAGCCAATAAAATCATAAAAACCATCCAAGAAAACATCTCAAATTCACTATTTTAAACCATACACATGGTCAGTTTGGTTATTTTCCACAGCTTATCTGAGTGAGCTGAGCTTATGACAGAACTATGTGAGGGGACCCTAAGCTCATTGACATAGTTCTACAATGACGGCCACTGAAAGGGTTAAGAAAGATGCAAGAAAAGTACCAGGTACGTCCTTCATCGCCATAAGGAAAGATTTCTCTTTTTCAAAACATAATGAGAAGAAAATGAGTGTGCCCTTTAACTGTACTACATATGCAACCACAAATACTGAAGTAGAGAGATATACAAGTAGCAAAGAAAACCAGCTAATACAGGAATGTCTGAGCAGTGTGACCTGGAATGACAGAATCAAGTGACTTAAGCTTCAGGGGTTACTGGGGAAGTGCTCTGGCTGACAAGACCCAGGACTGCTTAGTGAGAATTTTCTCAGTTCTTTACCACTAAATTGTGACATGGAAGAGTAAACACTGGGTTTAAAGTAAAAATGTATCATATGGAGAATCACTGTATATGGCTGTATTTGTACAAGCTGGTCAAATGTTCTGAGATCATTAGACCCCAAAAAGTATAGAAAATGCCTAACCAATAATAGTGATTTTTCATTTATTGTAAAAGGATTGCCACAAACCTTAGAATGTAGCTTTTTGCATTTAATTATATCTTATTTGAATTTAAATCAAGGATATAATTCAGTGTAAAACTGTGTAGCAACATTACCTTTCCCCCATTAAATCCTTGCCATTCATCTCGTACACTGCATCATCAGCATCTCTGTGATCATCAAATTCCTACAAGAAAAATGAACAAGTTTTTAATAATGTTTAGTTATGTATATACAGACAAGTATATTACAATAATCTGAAACAAAAGAATAACAAGTCATACACCAGTATGTCCGATGCATTAACAACAATGATATTAAACTTGAATTCACACAGGTAATGTATTTAAACTCCTACTCGAACAGTAGTCAAGATTTAATCACTTACTATTACACTCTATGCAAATGTTCCTCAAAAAAGTTTAATTAAAAATAAATATTTCACAGTAAAAGTAATAAAAGCCTAGTCAAAACTTGACTGTGTAAGAGCAACTGTAGGTGGACTCTAAATTCAGTGCATACAGACAGGTTCCGCTTTACAGTACTTCACTGTAAAGCAAGGCCACTCACTAAAATCTAACGACAAAAATATTTTAAAGTAATGCATGTACTGTATATGCATTTTTTTAGGACTAGGTCTATTGCTCACTTAATATATGATAGTGTAAACATGTTATGTGGCTTTTTTTTAGAGCTAAAGAAGGAGTAGCAATAATGTTGAAGGATAAGCTATGGCAGGAAAAGAGGGACTATAAATGTATTAATTCAAGGATTATGTGGAGTAAAATAAAGATTGGATGTGAAAAGTGGGTTATAATAAGCGTGTATGCACCTGGAGAAGAGAGAAGTGTAGAGGAGAGAGAGAGATTTTGGGAAATGTTGAGTGAATGCGTGGGGAGTTTTGAATCAAGTGTGAGAGTAATGGTGGTTGGGGATTTCAATGCTAAAGTGGGTAAAAATGTTATGGAGGGAGTAGTAGGTAAATTTGGGGTGCCAGGGGTAAATGTAAATGGGGAGCCTTTAATTGAGCTATGTGTAGAAAGAAATTTGGTAATAAGTAATACATATTTTATGAAAAAGAGGATAAATAAATATACAAGGTATGATGTAGCACGTAATGAAAGTAGTTTATTAGATTATGTATTGGTGGATAAAAGGTTGATGGGTAGGCTCCAGGATGTACATGTTTATAGAGGGGCAACTGATATATCGGATCATTATTTAGTTGTAGCTACAGTTAGAGTAAGAGGTAGATGGGAAAAGAGGAAGGTGGCAACAACAAGTAAGAGGGAGGTGAAAGTGTATAAACTAAGGGAGGAGGAAGTTCGGGTGAGATATAAGCGACTATTGGCAGAAAGGTGGGATAGTGCAAAGATGAGTAATGGGGGGGTTGAAGAGGGTTGGAATAGTTTTAAAAATGCAGTATTAGAATGTGGGGCAGAAGTTTGTGGTTATAGGAGGGTGGGTGCAGGAGGAAAGAGGAGTGATTGGTGGAATGATGAAGTAAAGGGTGTGATAAAAGAGAAAAAGGTAGCTTATGAGAGGTTTTTACAAAGCAGAAGTGTTATAAGAAGAGCAGAATATATGGAGAGTAAAAGAAAGGTAAAGAGAGTGGTGAGAGAGTGCAAAAAGGAGAGCAGATGATAGAGTGGGAGAGGCACTGTCAAGAAATTTTAATGAAAATAAGAAAAAATTTTGGAGTGAGTTAAACAAGTTAAGAAAGCCAAGGGAAAATATGGATTTGTCAGTTAAAAACAGAGTAGGGGAGTTAGTAGATGGGGAGATGGAGGTATTAGGTAGATGGCGAGAATATTTTGAGGAACTTTTAAATGTTAAGGAAGAAACAGAGGCAGTAATTTCATGCACTGGTCAGGGAGGTATACCATCTTTTAGGAGTGAAGAAGAGCAGAATGTAAGTGTGGGGGAGGTACGTGAGGCATTACGTAAAATGAAAGGGGGTAAAGCAGCTGGAACTGATGGGATCATGACAGAAATGTTAAAAGCAGGGGGGGATATAGTGTTGGAGTGGTTGGTACTTTTGTTCAATAAATGTATGAAAGAGGGGGAAGGTACCTAGGGATTGGCGGAGAGCATGTATAGTCCCTTTATATAAAGGGAAAGGGGACAAAAGAGACTGTAAAAATTATAGAGGGAATAAGCTTACTGAGTATACCAGGAAAAGTGTACGGTAGGGTTATAATTGAAAGAATTAGAGGTAAGACAGAATGTAGGATTGCGGATGAGCAAGGAGGTTTCAGAGTGGGTAGGGGATGTGTAGATCAAGTGTTTACATTGAAGCATATATGTGAACAGTATTTAGATAAAGGTAGGGAAGTTTTTATTGCATTTATGGATTTAGAAAAGGCATATGATAGAGTGGATAGAGGAGCAATGTGGCAGATGTTGCAAGTATATGGAATAGGTGGTAAGTTATTAAATGCTGTAAAGAGTTTTTATGAGGATAGTGAGGCTCAGGTTAGGGTGTGTAGAAGAGAGGGAGACTATTTCCCGGTAAAAGTAGGTCTTAGACAGGGATGTGTAATGTCACCATGGTTGTTTAATATATTTATAGATGGGGTTGTAAAGGAAGTAAATGCTAGGGTGTTCGGGAGAGGGGTGGGATTAAATTTTGGGGAATCAAATTCAAAATGGGAATTGACACAGTTACTTTTTGCTGATGATACTGTGCTTATGGGAGATTCTAAAGAAAAATTGCAAAGGTTAGTGGATGAGTTTGGGAATGTGTGTAAAGGTAGAAAGCTGAAAGTGAAATAGAAAAGAGTAAGGTGATGAGGGTGTCAAATGATTTAGATAAAGAAAAATTGGATATCAAATTGGGGAGGAGGAGTATGGAAGAAGTGAATGTTTTCAGATACTTGGGAGTTTGACGTGTCGGTGGATGGATTTATGAAGGATGAGGTTAATCATAGAATTGATGAGGGAAAAAAGGTGAGTGGTGCGTTGAGGTATATGTGGAGTCAAAAAACGTTATCTATGGAGGCAAAGAAGGGAATGTATGAAAGTATAGTAGTACCAACACTTTTATATGGGTGCGAAGCTTGGGTGGTAAATGCAGCAGCGAGGAGACGGTTGGAGGCAGTGGAGATGTCCTGTTTAAGGGCAATGTGTGGTGTAAATATTATGCAGAAAATTCGGAGTGTGGAAATTAGGAGAAGGTGTGGAGTTAATAAAAGTATTAGTCAGAGGGCAGAAGAGGGGTTGTTGAGGTGGTTTGGTCATTTAGAGAGAATGGATCAAAGTAGAATGACATGGAAAGCATATAAATCTATAGGGGAAGGAAGGCGGGGTAGGGGTCGTCCTCGAAAGGGTTGGAGAGAGGGGGTAAAGGAGGTTTTGTGGGCGAGGGCTTGGACTTCCAGCAAGCGTGCGTGAGCGTGTTAGATAGGAGTGAATGGAGACGAATGGTACTTGGGACCTGACGATCTGTTGGAGTGTGAGCAGGGTAATATTTAGTGAAGGGATTCAGGGAAACCGGTTATTTTCATATAGTCGGACTTGAGTCCTGGAGATGGGAAGTACAATGCCTGCACTTTAAAGGAGGGGTTTTGGGATATTGGCAGTTTGGAGGGATATGTTGTGTATCTTTATATGTGTATGCTTCTAGACTGTTGTATTCTGAGCACCTCTGCAAAAACAGTGATAATGTGTGAGTGTGGTGAAAGTGTTGAATGATGATGAAAGTATTTTCTTTTTGGGATTTTCTTTCTTTTTTGGGTCACCCTGCCTCGGTGGGAGACGGCCGACTTGTTGAAAAAAAAAAAAAAAAAAAAAAAAAAAAAAAAAAAAAAAAAAATTATATATATATATATATATATATATATATATATATATATATATATATTATATATTATATATATATATATATATATATATATATTATATATATATATATATATATATATATATATATATATATATATATTATAATATATATATATATATATATATATATATATATATATATAATATATATATATATATAGTGCCGAATATGTAAAACTGGTCAATTAGCAAGAACACATTTAAAATTAAGTCCTTTCTAAAATTTTCTCTTATACGTTTTAAGATACA